TTCGGTAATGGGCCACAATAATCAACCACATTGTATATCGACAAAATAAAAATTAAAAAAATTAAAAAAAAATACACAGGCCTAAAAAACAATGTGGAAAACACTTTGGTTTGATATAAATATTTACGAACATTTACTGTTTACTGGCTTTATAGAGCTTAACTCAGTATAGAAGGGGCACTGATTCTAGGACCTCCTACAGATACCAAAACCCACAGATGCTCATGTACCTGATATAAAATGGTCTAGAATTTGCATATAATCTATGTGTATCCTCCTGTATACTTTAAATCATCTCTAGATTACTTATAATAACTAATATAATAAAAATGTTATCTAAATAGTTGTTACATTGTATTATTTAGGGAATAATGACAAGAAAAAGTCTATACATGTGTAGTACAGACACGATTTTTTTTAAAATATTTTCAATCCATGGTTGGTTGAATACTCAGATATGGAACCAACGAATATGGATGGCCGAATATTAAAATGTTTAAGGTATGTGATTTACAAATTTTAAACACCTGGATCACTAACAAATAGGGCTTTTTTTTTTCATAGTATGCCCCTTGTGATGTTAACTACCAATGGTCAGAACATACTGTGAATTATTCTGTAGAAGAAAGACATCAGAGAAGAGCAAACAGAGGTACAACAAGCTAAGGTATCTGAATTTGTACAAGGCAAACAAATGTTGCAATCCTGGAAAAGCTAATTAAACTATTGTGATAGCTACAAGAGAGCTCAAAGCCAACTGATGCCCCATATCTGTGTATTTTAGGGCCAGCTTCAGTCAAACCAACCACTTATCTGAAGGCTGCAGGCTAAATGTGTACAACGTGAGTAAATATGACCAGAAACTCATCTCTGCTTTTCTGGATACCTGTGATCCTAGCCATTGCTGAACAGACTCACACCTTTGTTTCTCTCCAGTTTCCACTCTGATTACCTCACATTAGTGGAGAGTTCCTAAAGAACGAACCCTCTTCTTTTACAAGACTCTGTAACTTCTGTTTATACCCAAACAAGGACAGTGGTATGCCTCCCCTCCAGCATCCCTGTGTTTACAAGCCTGCCCCTGGTAGTAACAGTCACAGAACTTTGAGAGGGTCTCTAAGGACTTAAAGCTCCCCTGAAGCAAAGATCCTGTCCCTCAGTATCTAAGGAACAAGATGAGTCCTTCTCCCAGAGCCAACTGCTCAAGAAAAAGGAAGTCTTAGACTCCAGGCAATCTAGCAGCCAAGTAAGCTGCCTGCCTAAAACAACCAGCAGCATGACCAGTTTATCTATGCAAAATATGGATGCCTCTTTTAAGAAAGGATTTACAAAGCAAGGAAAAAATATCTATCATATCTATCATAGAATCCTCTAGCACATTTATACAAATAGCCAATACATTTTTAAAACATATCAAATATTCTTAAGGCCATCAGATACAAGTTTCAATTTCAGTTATGCAGCAGATCTCAACATAGACATAATTATTTTTATCTTCTGGATTCTTCTACTCAGGGAACAAAACACCTTCAATCAAACATCTGATTGTTTTTCCCCTTACTCCTTACTTCTTACTACTTACTGGTTTTGAGAACAATAAACATTAGTTTCACATAGCCATATCAGGACATTATAGTATAATCCTCTGACACATTTTACAGGAAAGGCTTTCTAGAAAACGGTTTGGATATAATTCAGCAATTATGATCTCTCACCAAGTGCATTATCACAACAGCCTATCCTTATGAAATTCTAACTTTTTCCTCCATACCAGGTAAACATTCTAAATGTGATCAAACAATCAATTTGCAATGAGAATTAGGTACTTCACCTTAAATATTATGTTCAGCAATGTAGCTAAGAAGAAAAAGTCTGGTTCACTTACTGAATTAGCGATGGCATGAATGACTCTAGCAAATCCCACTGCATCATTCAGTTCCTCCTAATTAAAAAAAAAACCATATATATATTATTGACATACATATATTCCTTATTTAAATGGACTGAAAACCTAGCCAAAAAAAAAAAAAAAAACCCACTGATATTTCATATCAAGTTAGGTAGCTTTAGTTTCACATGCTTTGCACCTATCACCCCAAACAACTGCATCTGAAATGATCTAAGTACATACCTTTCTTCTGTTTTAGAACTCAGAATAGGCAAGTGGCAAATTATTCATTAGTTGCTGAAATAACAGTTCCTAGAGTTCATCCATCATTTTACATAATCTGTCAAAATTTCTATCAAGGTGTCTTAAAAACACAAACTTTTAGGGCCGGCCCTTGGCTCACTCGGGAGAGTGTGGTGCTGATAAAACCAAGGCCATGGGTTCGGATCCTATATAGGGATGGCCAGTTAGCTCACTGGCTGAGCGTGGTGCTTACAACACCAAGCCAAGGGTTAAGATCCCCTTACCGGTCATCTTTAAAAAACAAAAAACAAAAAAACCCCCACAAACTTTAATAAGTCGCCACCTGCTGGCTAAATTTAATAATGCTTTAAATTATGAGGAAACCCACCTAGCAGCTGACTGATTCAAAAGTCCTGATTTTCTTCCTTGACAAACGCATTTTTACAAAATTCTTAAAGCATAGCTCTCTGAGATTCATCCCCACCCACTTTCTTCTCTCTTATTTTCTTCCCCATGTTGTTTAAATAGGCTCAACATCTCTTCTACCTTGTAAACCCTTCCCTAATGAACTTTATGCCCCATCTAACTACTGCCCCATCTCCTTATCTCATCACAGCTAACTTGCTTGAAAGACTTCTCCACGCATTAGTTCAGTTTAACTCCCAGGTGCCTGAAGCTCTCTGCTCTCTGGCTTCATCCTCAATGAAATTGCTCATCTCCTTAAAACTATTCCCAAGACTAACAAGTGTTTGCCAGGATGCAGAGAAATGGAATCCCTTGTGCACTGTTGGTGGGAATGTAAAATGGTGCAGCCACAATGGAAAACAGTATGAAGGTTGCTCAAAAAAAAATTACCATGTCACCAGCAATTCATTTCTGGGTATTTACCCACAAGAATTAAAAGCAGGGACTCAGATATGTGCACGCCCATGTTCATACCAGCATTATTCACAATAGCCAAAAGGTGGATCAATGGATGAATGGATAAACAAAATGTGGTATAATACAACGGAATATTATTCGGCCTTAAAAAAACGAAGGAAATTCTGACACATGATGCAACATGAATGAACCTTGAGGACATTATGCTGAGAGAAATAAGCCAATCACAAAAGGACAAATACCATATGATTCCATGAGGCACTTTGAGTGATAAGTACCTGTCAAATTCATAAGACAGAAAGTAGAATGGTGGTTGCCAAGGGCTTGGGAGAGGGGAAATGTGTTGTGTAGTGGGTACAGAGTTTCAGTTTTGTAAGATGAAAATAATTCTGGAGAATAATGTTGGTAAAGGTTGCACAACAATGTGAATGTACTTCATACTACTGAACTGCACACTTAAAAATAGATAAATCGGTAAATTTTATATGTGTATTTTACCACAGTTAAATATAAAAGTTTTTAAGTAAATTTAAAAAAAAAAAACAAACCTACTCCCAAGGCTAAACCCAGTGCCAAGGGTAAATCCTTACCCTTACCTGTGTCTCCCCACCAATATTTCTCCAGCCCACCCCATCTAAGTGAACTGACTACAGTCTACCCAGTTGTTCTGATGGTTGGCTTGAGCATTTTCCTTCTCCCTTCCTCTTCCACCACCCACATCCAATCACAAGTTCAATGGATACTACCTTCCAAATATCTCCAGATTCTACCTACACTGCTACTAACTACCCTATTACTCCAGGTAGCCAACATCTCTTAGCTAGGTTACTCCACATATTAACTGGTTTCCCTGCCTCCAGATTTACTCGAATCTATTCTTCATACAGTAACCAGGGTGATGTTCCAAAAACGCAAATACAACCACATGAACCTAATCTCTCAGATCCCATGTTCTGAATTTTGTTCTAGGAGAACTAGTAAGTGCACATGAGGTTAGGCATAGCACTATTAGCTAATGGGCAGTGAAGCTCAGTGACACACAACCTGAATGATAACCAAGAAAACTTTCTTCAAAACTGCTTCATTTAAGTGGACACTGGTCAACCACGTTAGACTCATTTTGTGGCCACAAATAATGCTTACCTAATTTCTCCTTATTCTATTCTAGGTTTTTCTACCAATTCAATTCTTCTATGGTAGAAAACTACTCATTAAACTGAATCCAACATATGATCTAGAAATACACAGAAAGGAATAAATCAGTACTATGTTGCCATTTCTCACCCAAAGGAAACTAACATGGCCCAATTACCTGTTCTTTAGCATGTTTCTGCTCTTCCCTTCTTTTGCGCTCTTCTTCATCTACTTTGCTGATAACAATATATCGCTCCTTCTAAAAGACATAAAGCAGAGATACAATTTTCTGGAAGCAACTTGACCCAAAAACTTCAGAATTCTACTACCATTAGAAGTTACCATTTTTATCACTGCACAGTCTTTCATGGCCCAAATACAACAGAAAGTATTTTGAAATGCCACCAAAAGTTGAGCTGAGTTGCATTATAAACCAAAATTTTGCCTCTGCATTTTCATGACATTTTCCCAGGGTTTATTAATTCAACCCAACAGACGTCAGTTAAAAGTATCAAAAGACTATGAGAATAAGACATTTTCTATGAAGTTATGTTGCATTTGAATATGAATTTCTAAATAATTAGTTTTAAAGTAAAATTTCTATATCATATTTTATGAATATAATAAAAAAATCCTAGATTATGTGGTAATGTGCCAAACAACTCTTGCTTTCTTTCTCATGCTTTGCATTTTGTATCCATTAAACACACCACAAAACCTTCTATGTCAAAGTTTGAGACTTATCTTCCAGCAAGATTGCTTTTATTTAATTTCTAATTTGATATATGACTTAAGAGCAACAACCACTAAAATTCTAAAATTCTGCTAAAGGAACCCACCACTAGCCACCTATTACCTGTCACAGTTCTATCAGTGCACCTTGGGAAAACATGACAACAGCTATGCTTATGTTTATGACCCAGATTCTAAAACTTAATTTTACCTGCCCACATAACATGAAGCCATTTTTTTCACATACGCTCACAACTTTCTGCCATAGTATAAGAACATGAACTAACATTTGTATACTTTCAAGCTTACAAAGCATGTTCACTTCCATTTACCTATTGGATCACCCTAAGAAAGATAAGTATAAATCATCATTATCATGCTCAGCCTCAATACACAAATGAGGAAAATGAGGGTTAGAGAGCTTAAATGACTTGCCTAAGGTCACCCAGCTCATACATAGCAAAGCCTAGGTGTAAATTCTGACTTTTAACACATTAGTGTATCACTGGATGTGTTTAATGTTAGCCATAGATAATTCTTGGGGTTACCTTTTCAGTTTCTAAAGTCTCAACATGAATGCCTTTGGGATACCTAACGAAAAGAAGGAAAACATGACATCAGTAGATAAGTCAATGACAGTCAAAACCCAGAGTATTTTAAAAATCAACTATTTAGCTATAAACTACACAAAATGAGTTTTATTAAATATGAAATAATTATCACTACAATGAAGACTTTACATTAAGCCTATTCATAACATTTCAGCTCCTAAATGTTTCCCTTCCCCTTAACACACAGAAATGTATTTGATTTCAAATTAATTTTTTTAGGACTTAAGCATTTTCTAAAATGTCTTGCATCTCACAATACAGTCAACTCATTACCACACAATCAAATTTTTGCTTCCAAATATAAGCATTTCCTAACTGAAATTTTGAAGGTCTCTTTTGACTACATGGGGCACACAGGGGAAGTTTCAGATGTGCTGCTCTGCTGTAGTCTGGCATGGTAGTTTGCATCAGCTGAGGAGAAGGATCTGGAATGCGCACAGAGTAAGTTACAAGGATAAAGTGATAGGAAAAAAGCCTGGGCAAACCAGACAATGGTCTTTTCCTAGTATACGTGTCACTGGCAGATTTTAACAGAGGAACAAGGACCCCAAAGTCAAATGCAAACATCTATCTGTCTAATGCCAATGTTTAATTTTTTTTGAGGGTAAACAAAGAAAGTTCATTTGAGAACTTGGTATACAACTCCAGAATTGGGCAGCACTCTAGACCAAATGGTTCAGAATGCTCCCTCAATGTTCAATTTTTGAGTTAGAGAACCATTTGCAAATAAAATGAAAACATGGGAAACATCCCCAGAAAAACACATGCACAAAATTTTGAATGTTATTTCAGGGGATTCACAGACCTCCTGAAACCCATCCACAGTTTAACCCTATGTTAAGAACCCCTGTTTTAGAAAAAGTATTCATCTGAGTATTTCTTAGGTCTTAAAACCAAACCTTTACCATATACCTTCAAAGGACAAAAACACTACATATCCAGAGCTTAATGGATGAAGCCAAAGTGATAATTAAAAGAAATTTTAAAAGGCTTTAAGACATCCTTTAGAAGCAATAACAAAGGAAATAAATTAAGTGGGTATTCAGCCTAAGAAAGTGGGGGACCTTGGTATGGTCAAATCACCAAGAACTGCAGAATTTCTTTTTTCGGGGGGGGAAGGGGGGCTGGCCTGTTTGGGGATCTGAACCCTTGACCTTGGTGTTATAACACCGTGCTCTAAACAACTGAGCTAACTGGCCAGCCCTTGAACTGCAGAATTTCAAAAAGGAAATGACAGCTAAGACATTATATTTAGTATTTAAATCCTGGGTCCCTCACAGAGCTCTCACATACAGTACAAACACTTACTTCCAGCTCAAAGTCTGATAGATTAGTTTTCTTTGGAACCTATAAAAACGAAAGAAAAGGTACTGATTTTGGCTCATTAAAAGTAACTAACTTATCAAGCACTAGTTGAGAAAGACTTAATTTTAGGAAGAGACTTCATTAGAACTAACAGGTAAAATGCAAACAAAAAAAGGCAGGATGTCTGACATGAGAGGATTCCTCATCACTTCATCAAAATTTTCTTTAATGTTATTATATTGCTTTTATAGAAGAGGTAGAAGTTCTTATCTAATTATTACTTCCTGCAGTGTTTAAGAGAATTTAAAGTAGAAAGATGCATTAAAATACTTTTGTGAAGCTTGTCATGAAGTAAAAGGAAAAAAAGATGTTCAAGTTACCGACTCTTTGAAACGCTGATGCTTTTTTACTGCAGAGACAAATTAAAAGGATAGAAGCAGCCTGACAGTGAATTCCCTTCTGAAGACTTCATGTATTAAGTGCTCCTCAAGGCCAAAGTAATTATGTCACCTTGGGCAGAACTGAAAGTCAAAGTTGCACAACAGTTTTCTCCCCTTCAGGTACAGGACAAAGCATTCATTCAGTGTCTCAATATACAATCATCCCCACTGTGTTAAGACTGAAGTCAGTGCTTAAATCTTGGAAACATACCCTACCTATTATAAAAAGACTATTTTTAAAGATGTTTTTAAAAGACCAAATGTATCAAATGCCAGAAATCATCTACCTTTCCCCAAAAAAAGAACACGTGAAAATGTTCAGGACAACTAACCCGGTACATGGCTCTAAATCCAAGTTCCTGTTTTCTTCACTTTGTAATAAATCTTCTATTTTCTCTCTGAGGATTAGAATAGACCATGACCATCAGTACCTTTAAGGAAGGACATCATCAACCAACAGAATAATCATACCCAGAAGCAGTCTAAATGCAAGAACATATGACAATGTAATTCTACCAAATCACATTACAGCCTTTTAATTCAAAGACTTAAAGAAAAATGCCTTATTCTGGCACATTCTTTGGGGGGGGGGGGGGATTATGTTTTCATTAATGTATAGAGAAAATTTCT